GTAGCCACATATTCATTCTAGTGTCAAGAGGCACTTCTTCTAATAGTTCCGGAAGTGTAGTTTGAAGAAATCTTAAATAGCGATCTGCATTTAAAGTTCCTTCGTAAAAGTAAGGTCCAATAAGGAATCCATTTAATATGCCGCACCAAACATTGATACTAAAAATTCGTTGGTTACCTCTTTCTGTAATCCAACGAGGATGATTTTCGGACCAAAAACGATAGTTGTGTCTGTTAACGATTCCATTATTTTGAAATCGACTTTCGTCGCTCCATAAAATTTTCGAGAGAAAATTTGCATCTTGGCTATACAAATCGGACAATGTCGCTAAGAAATACATTCTTCAAGCATAATCGCCTGGTTCTAGTTTATGAACTAGTTTACATTTGTACGGGTGAAAAGAGTTTCTGTGTAGAATTCTCCACGAAGAACTTATGGTAACACCGGTATTTTCTTTTATCTCTTATAGGGATATCTTGGAGTTATTATCAACCTGCTGAATTACAGCAGCAGTATTTTCATCATTTGTAGCCGTCCTGTTCCTATCTCTTTTAGGTTTCATGAAGCTGCCATATTCTCTTAAGTTTTTACATAAACTTGAAAAGGTTTTTGCATCGGGGACTCTTCTATGCGGATAACGCCGTGCGTAAACTCTTTTTACTTCTCTACAATTGCATCTGCATTCTCCAAACACCAGTAACATGTCTACTTTTTCCTCATTGCTAAATTGCACCATTTTCACATAATAATTCTTAGTTTTTTTTTAACCGAACAAATTTGGATATTTCTCGTGACAAAATGTGACAATTTTTTGATACAGCAATAACAACTTACGTTTGTAATTGCACTTAAAACAACTGCGATAACAATGGTTGTCATAGTAACTAACATTCATGGCATAATTGTAAAAATAAGCGTTAATCACATTTTTTATTAATCAAGAAATGTTTACTTTAAATCGGTATAACTTAGAAACGGGTAAAGTAAATAAGTTTGAGTAAATAACAAAAAAGTTTTTAAATAATATGTACTTTTGTATGCGCGTATTTCCAAAGTCTCTGCAATCGAATAATTTTTCGACGCGTCGCGACGCCCAGCTCTTTGCAGGCGCCGAATGTTTTAAACTTTAGGAAATATCTACTTGACCCCCCACTTTGACTACTTTTTACATAAATTAAATATTTCTTTTCGTTTTGGACTTATTGGCGTGCGGAGTTTTAAGTGAAAAACCCTGTATATATATATATATATATATATATATATATATATATATATATATATATATATATATATATATATATATATATATATATATATATATATATATATATATATATATATATATATATATATATATATAACATAACATATATATAATATATAATAACGTATAATTGACGAAACCTGAAACTCTCTCTCGACACAGTTTAGGATAGTGTTCATATCACATCTTTAAATGTTTTTCATTTATCGCCAAGAATTCACCCACAAAACCGGAAATTTCTAGAATAATAAAAATAGGACAAAATAACCAAAAAAAAAATCAAAAAAACACACTTCGCGTTAATTTATTGCTCCCAATTTAAAGAGTCTAACTGCGGGTCTAGACTTCTACTTCTCTCCCAAGTCTGTAGTCGGTAGCTGCAAATTTGGAGTACTTATTATGTTTTTTAATATTGCACGGAATATTGCGAACACCCTGTAAAATACTTAAACACCTTAAATACAAAAGCTTCAGCGGTCTATATGTAAGAGAAACTACCTAAATCACAGATTTTAAATTATTGCCAATTTTCAATAATATATATTTTTTTTTAATATTTCCCGACTCCCCAGGACCCCCATTTTCAATAGGTTCCGTCACAGGGCAAAACTGCATATGTGTGTCAAATATGAAGTCTATTGCTTCAAATTTCGGACATTTACCTATCGTGTTTCAATGTTCAAAAAACAGTTGAAAATCGCGAAAAAAAGATGGATGCCGGCGTTCGAAAGTTATTCAGGAAAAACCAAAAGACGAGAACGGACAGACAAAAAAAATCTTTTTTTTCGACGCTGCTCATTTCTGTACCAACGACGATCCCACAAGACCTACCGTTACCGAGATATAAAATTTTTATACGAGCGTAGATACTTTCGAAAAATTCGATTTCATCGATTTTCGAAAGTAACAAGTTATAAATGTTCATGCAAAAATATATACAGTGCGAAGTCTGTTATGAATGCATTCATACTTAACCCTGGTAAAGCCGTTATTATGTATTAATTAAGTCGACTTATGGCTCTAAATAATTGAACATTTTATTGGTTACCAATACTCAATATAATGAATATAATAACGTAATATTCAAGTTAAATTATGCCTTTTTGTACCATATATTAGAAAACAAATTATCTATATACTACAAATGTGCAATAAGCAATCAATCAAATAAAGAAGTTTTAAAAAGCGTCTTCAATTTTTCAACATTTTTTATCTCTTCTGTGCTTCAGTTATAATTTATTTCTTGTATCTTTATTTATTTATTTGTTTAGTAAGGAGCGATTTTCTCGTCTCGCCTCGAGTAAAAACTTTTATATGTTCAGAAAAATATAAATTGGACTCCGTTAAGCTCTGAACAAGCCAACAGGATGATTGGCGATTGATCCACAGTCGATGTAGCAAGCATCCAGAAGATTTGTAACGAGCATTAAGAAACTGAAGAAGAAAAATGCATCAATTTGGTTTTCGAGGAATCAAGTTTTAAGGAGTGTTGCTCTGAAACATTCTTTACGACAGCTAAATCAGAACTAAGAGTTAAAAATAGTTTTAAACGTATATTCTGCAACCGCGCCAGCAATATTAAAAAAAAATATTTACGGCTTTAAGCTTTGAAAGCGTTTTTCTCGAAAAGCAATATGAGCTAACTGGCTGATTGACAGGATAAAACCTTCAACCTTGGACGACGCCGGTGGCTCGTATCAATTTCCATATAGAGAGGCGCATCCAAATTCAATTTCACCCAAATCTCTCATACGCGGCCAAAGAAAAACTTAAATTACCCGACATCGATTATACTGCCGGTGTAAACGGATTCAAAACCACGTATACAGCTTTTTGAAATACACAGCCACATACTTCACTTTCGTTCTGTCGGCGGCAGCTTTACTCCCGTGGTAAAACGTTTTTCTTTGGGGCGTCGCAGATACTTTTCAGTCAGACAATGACGCAAATTTGAAACGGACCAACATATACATCAAAATTTACTATACTTATGCAAAATCAACACTTTGGTAAGTGGTTTTCCATATATTTTCCTAAAAAACGGAAACGTTCGTTATTTTGTCACAGAGACAGTGGAAAATTGAACTTTGGGTATCTGGTATTGGACATTCACCAGGACGTTTTTGCTTCGTTTTAACTGTGTAGGCATTTTCAAGCAAAAAAATTTGAATGACTTCTTTAGTTCATGATGAATACGGTATTTTTCCGTTTGTTCGGAATGGTAGTTGATGTTGTCCACCACAACACTGTTTGCTGAAATATTTTGAAGCCATTTTTCAGAAAACCCTTTTTCAAAGAACCTTTGCTTCTTTGACATCTTTTGCAGAAAGCAACAAAGGGTTATCTAAAGTCAGTCCATCTTTTCTCGACGGTATCGTGGCTATCAAATCAGATCTCATCTAAATATGTGATGGCGACGTTTTTAGCACGAATGTCTTGGATTTCTCTCAAATATCTTGTCCTCCACTCCGAAATTCCTCCATCAAAATTTGTCTCTAATGGATGGTTTTGTAGTAAAAATCAGTTAGCCGTACGAACGCACGCAAAGTATTTTGGTAACTGTCAATATTCAAAACACTACGCAACTCTTCATGTAAAGTTTTAATTGTTAAAACAATATTCTTCCGATACCCACCATGTATCAAGCAGCTTTCATGGACACCATTCACGACTATGTCACGTACTGTGACATACGGTCATCTCGGATGGTAATTTTATCGCTCCATTTTCCCCAGATGTCGAATTTAGAAACAGAATCACATTTAAAATAATAATTTTGGTACATATGGTACCTCAATAAAAATGGCACACTGAGTCTTGAAAAACAATTGAATAACAGTAAGTTCGTTTTTTTTTTTGTTTTGAGTTTTTAATATAGGAAACCAACCTATCTAATAGGCAAATTCAACTTCCCTAATATAAATTAATATAACAGGTTAATCAAAGAAAATTTCCTTACTCTTAAGATACAACAGTCCGCACGGCACAGTTCTTGGTGGCTAACATTATAAATACGGCCCTGGCTTATGGTACCAATAAGGGTAAAAACGATATATCGTTAGACAAACTACTTCTAATGTATTTGCTTTGACAACTAACAATTTCACTAAGTAAAAAAACATTGCGTTTACGCTTCATGTAGTCTTGATCGAGGCATACCATTAGTGACCAAGCTTTTCAGCATAGTTAAAGTATAAAACTGTCAAGTTGTTGGAGATTATTATTAACGTGCGACCGGAAGAACGGCTTAATTTTCCACTGTTATGAACAGAATGTGTCTTGTGTTATTTATCATTCGTCATTTGTGGTAAGTCAAAACCATAAAAGGTTGTAAAAGTGGTATATGGTCCGGCGAACTCTAGTTTTAATCTATTTGCTTTTCCAACTAAATGCATCCCTCCGGATTAATTATCATTCGTCATTTGTGGTAAGACAAAACCATAAAAGGTTGTAAAAACGGTATATGGTCGGGTGAACTCTACTTTTAGAAAGTAATCGCGTTTACGCTACATGTAGTTTTGATCAAATTTTACTATTAGTGTCCAAGCTTTTCAGCATAGTTAAAGTAAAAAACTGTCAGATTGTTGGAGATTATTATCAATTTGCGACTGCAGAAAGGACCTTATTTTCGACAGTTATGAATAGAAAGTGTTTAGTTTTGGTTCCGGATTATTTATCATTGGTCATTTTTGGCAAGTCAAAACCATAAAAGGTTGTAAAAATGGTATATACTTACTCAACATTTTAACGACCCTATTCTGAGCCTGGGTGTGGCGCAGTCTCTTTTTGGCAGACTCCGCGCTGTACGCGGAATTCCCGGTCGCCGAGTTGCTGTTGTGGGTCATCGACGGCCTCTTGGCCGTCGACTTCTTCAGCTGACGCCCGATCAGGATGTAAAGGACGGTGATCAAGGTCATGGGAGCGACGAAGAACACGATCGTCGATACCTGGAAGGAAACACGAGCGAACTGATTCGCGGGTGGTGACGCTAGGGGGCGCAACGATTTACCTCGAACGCGTGGTCGAAGATCTTCGACACCACCGTGCAGTGGCTGTTCATCAAACCGTCTTCGCCGTGTTCGACCTCGATGCCGAACTGAATGGCCTGAGGTACGGCCAGGGTCAAGGCCACCACCCAGATGGCGACGATGATGCGGATGGCGCGCGATAGCTTCGACATGGTGTGCGACAGGAACGGGTGGCAGATGGCCAGGTATCGCTCCGCAGTGAAGGCGGTGATCGTTAACACCTGCGGCAAAGGAAAGAGACGCGCTCAATTTACCCGATCAACGCAGTGTAATTATCGAGGCCGGTTTCCTTGGAAAGCCCATCATGCGAAAACGCCACGAGGTTGCCTGTTTACGCGCTTCATAGACAAGCCAATTGGAGCAAGAGTTTTTGCTCGATTCGCCATTTCGTACATTAAACTTGCAGGGCAGAGATCATTAACAGAGTGTTAGGAACGGCTCGTTGAAAAGTTATTGAGGTCGTGAATATGAATCGTTTTGATTAGATTTCTAGATCTGCTGTTCCTCAGTTTTCGCAATAAAAAAATAATAAAAATGTTTTTTTTTTAATTTATTTCGAACGTTCCTGTATGTCCTTACACGAAATGACAATGGCGATAAAGTACGTAAATCTTTCGGTCGCAGCAAATGGTAGACCGTGGACTTAAGTGTGCTATCCTTAGAGATAATTTCGTCTCAGGAAAAATCTGAAGGAAAAATGCTAAATTTGGGCACAAAGATACACAAAGAATTTTAAAGATTTTAAACATGTTAAGTTTCCAGGCTGAATTTTTCTGAGGACTTCGACAAGACGAATCATAATAATTTATTGTCAGTCAGTATGTGGCTTCTTGATATCAGTTTGCTGAAACAAAGAAAGGTATATCTACAGAGTTGCGACTCATTTTTTACCACAGTGCTTAAAATTTTATTATAGCCGGGTGTTCATCCGTTCGTTGTTCAACCCTGGAGTAGGATCATTCGCCTGACGTTTCGCCAAAATATCACTTGGCATCTTCAGAGGCTTAAACTTAACTCTTATTATTAGACGATCCAGCGTACGAACAAATATCCACCGATCCAACTACATATTTGGATAAAACAACGAAGGCCGAAATCAATTCTTCAAAAATCAGCAAAGGCCAACAGATACATCTCCTCATCCCAAGAGAAAAATCATCACGATGTCCAAAACTTTATGGTTTGCCAAAAGTCCATAAGTCAGGAGCACCACTAAGACCAATAGTCAGCTCAAAAGGGTTGCCGTTACACCAATTAGCCAGGTTTTTAGCGAAGCAACTACAACCCTACGCAGAGGAAGCGGAATCTTATGTCAAGAACGCGAGCCACTTCATCAAACGTATACAAAACGTAGATGTTAGACCCGGAGACCTTCTAGTCAGTTTCGACGTCATTTCTTTATTTACCAACATACCAGTGGACGAAGCATTGGACATCATCCAAAGGAAATACAATGTACCAATAGATACCATGGACTTAACCAGACACTGCCTAAAAAACACATATTTCATCTACAATGACCAAACAAATAGAATGGGCACCGATGGGATCACCTTTATCCCCTGTAATAGCCAATCTCTTTATGACGGCTCTGGAAAAACGAGCAATAGAGACAGCGGACTACAAACCAAAACTATGGCTACCATATGTAGACAACACTTTCATCATCTGGAACCACGGGATGAAACAACTACGCACATTCCTGCAACACCTAATCGAAGTTCATCCGAAGATCAAATTTACAATGGAAATCGAAGAAAACAGCCAACTGCCGTTCCTAGACGTTACTATAATAAAAAAGGAAACCGGACACTTAGGCCACACAGTATACAGGAAGCCGACTCACACCAACCGTTACCTGAACGCCAATTCACATCACCATCCGGCACAATTACAATCAGTGATCAAAACATTGATCACAAGATCACAAACGCTGGCAAACGAGGACCACAAAGAGGAAGAAACAAAAACTGTACAGGCGGCCTTGAGACAGAAGAAGAAGACAAACCTATTGCCAAAGCTCTCCTGCCTTATGTCAAAGGAACAACAGACAAAATAAGCAGAGTCCTTAAGAAAAACAAAATAGCAACAATCTTCAATTGAGACAAGAAAATTGCCAATGTAATTCCATCAGCAAAAACAACAATTCCACTGGAGGACCAAGGAGTGTATGAAATACCCTGCAAGAACTGCGACAAGAGCTACATTGGCCAGACAAACAGAAGGATACAGGTACGAAGAGAGGAACATCGCAACGCTGTAACCAAAGACGAAAGAACTTCTTCAATAGCCCAACACGCAAGGAATACTGGACACACAATAGACTTTGACAACACGAGGACAATTGCCAGAGAAGAACACAAATATAAAAGAATAGTCAGGGAAGCTATCGAAATAGAAAAACACCAAAATAACCTAAACACAAGAGACGATACGCAAATAAACCCTGACCTTGACGGGGATGAAAGTTGGTATTCATTTAATGAACCAAACTTTCCAGAGGGAGGAAATTGCTCCCATATTATCCCGAGCATAAAAAAAATAAAAAAATACTTTTTTACTATGAAATTAATAATGTTTGGGGCTTTGGGGTTATACATAAATATACAAAAGAAAGTTCAAACTCGACAGAAAACAACTAAAAGTAGATTGTTTCCAAATAGAACCCGATTTGATACAAAAAACGCATAGTATTTTATGGCAAGCACCATAAAATATTATGCGTAACACCGGGTTTCATTTTTGGTGATATTTTACAAAGCACGAAGTATGTAAATGCACATTACACTTATTACAAACGTAAATTGTGTGGCGGATTCTACATCTCCTTCGGGCTTTATTAGCATGAACAATCATGACGTGACCTTGATTATCATAACGCACTTCATCTATGGCAGGTGCAAGATTTATTTGGGTAATTGTTTTATCAATTTTTCAAATAAACTTCCACAAGCTACTTTTTACATAACTTTTTGCTGAGTCGAAATTGCTGACGTTTCGCCAATCATCCTGTTGGCTTCGTCAGAGCTTGACTGAAACTGGTTTTGTTTCACAGATAGAACCAGCGGTGCATTCACGCACCAGTAAATATTTTCAAAAAAAAAAGGCATAATCACTCTAGTATTTCCAATGTATGTGTTCTGCGATGTAATTTACATGCTGTAAACTTAACAAAAATGGCAATACAAATCCAAAATATTTTTTTTTACTATTTTGAAAATGTGATACAAATTTATGTACCGCTTTTGTTAACTTTTGAAGTCATATACAAGATCTTTCCTTTACACATAAATTAGCGATTTCTACGGTTTTATGTCCTTTAGTAGTGATAATAATAAAATTTCAAAATGGATGTGCAAAAATATTTCCTGGATGTGACAAAAAAATGATGGAATAGGTGGTGCATTAACGCACCACTGGGACAAAATGGGTCAAACAATGGACGAAAAATTTTGAACGGTGACGCGAAATCTGTCCGAAGTTTCGCATGTAATTAGAATCATTTCCGAGAATTTTCCGGCACTAAAGTCAATTGAGAATATACCCACGCGGATCTACGCCGCAGAAGGGAGCATCAATCAAGCTCGAATGTCGCTGGCTAATTGGGAACTTATTTTCCCGTGGACTTAATGGAATGCACAGGTCGTGTTGGTCGCCATACGTACATTTAATGGTAATGAAAATTAGCAACACGACTTGTATTAGTTCATAAGGAAGCAAAATTTTTCTTCTTGGTTCCCTAATTTGCAAAAAAATTAAAAATACAGGGTCTTTAATGTTTTTTAAATTCGCCAAGGAACTTTCTAGGTACGTTACTGGACATGATGGAGGTCTAGTTAATTCTAACTAAGACGTCATTTAAAATAAGACCATCATTAATTTCAGCCAATTTGAATTAAGGATATTTAGGACTACAATTTCGCGTCAATATTGGGATCGATTTCTCCACGGACGATGTAAATTAAAACATTCTGTTAAAAGCTGCGGGAAGGCGAATGATTTCAATGAATGTTGAGCGGCAAATAAAAGAAGTTTTTTTAACGTCTACACCTTCGAAGTGTGACGATTCGTTAGTTTAGGATATAGAAAGAATATAGCTATTTAATTCTACATTCAAATATGATAATTTACAGTTGAATAATATAAAACTTGATACAGAAATATATATTTTTGTATTTAAAAAATTTAAAAAAAAAATTCCAGTTGTAAATACACTTTTTTATGTATATTTTTTATGATAATTGTTTATTTACCGTTTGCTCCGTATATTGTATAAAAAAAGGGATCATTAGATGGGACGTGCGTTACCCCATACGAGGCGGTGGTCCGCCTTTAAAAAAAGACACATTATTACTGTTCAATTAAAAAATTTCCATAATTTACCATAACAGCTTAAAATTGTATAAATATGTATGCGTATCGTCTGACTATCGTTAAAGTTTAAATTTATTGCTTCAGAATATTCCGTTTGTGTGTCGTTTTTATACGATTCGCCGCCATTTTGATACCCGAAGAACGAAAATAGAATGTAATATGCAAAGCGTTTCGCGAATATAAAACAGGAAGATTTTTTTCGCGATAACTGTTACATGTTTGAATGGTATCCTGTTTTGGAATTTTGTTTTTTTTTTTCATTTTTGCCTTCCACCATCTCTTTTTTTAAAAAACGTACGAGAATATATTTCGATTCCCGGCCGACAACCCTTTTAGCCTAGAGAAATTATGGGTTGCCTACTGTCAAACATTTAGTTTAGCATTTTTTTATAAACGTCGAATAAACATCCTAAAAAACTATACAGGGTGTCCTTTTTTCTATTATTCGTAAAACAAAATTCAAAATTTGTTTGAAATATAAAATATTAAAATCATGATTTTTTTGCCTTGATTATAAAGCAGACGTGGAAAAAAGTCCCTCAAGGCCCCGCTGTCCTCTCCGTAACTGACTGGGCAAACAACCGCTAAGCTGGAGTATTTTGCGGCGAGCTCTCGCCTCCCGGCATTGTGATTATCGAATTCCGGCGGGTAGAAATGTTCAGAGAAAGTAACAATGTGGAAACCGATCAGTTTCTAAATTTTGAAGTTAAAGAAGTTGGCGATTCGAGGAAAATTGAGTTTGCCACCAATTTTACTAAGTTTCCTCGATATAGGTGCGTCATATTTCGTTTTATTTTTGTTCATTTCTTCTATGCCAATAAAATGCAATTACCAAATACGAGGTGTG